CGGGTCACGTGACCAGGACAGACAAAGAGAAGCTTCGTACCCATCGTTGACCTGAAGTGACCTTGTGTGAAGGAAGTGACCCAGATCCTGACAATTTCCTGACATGTTTCTCTCGGATACTTTTAGATCGTCGACGGATCTGAAAGCAACCTCGCTCTAATTTCCTGTAAACTTTCCTCCATTCTTTGGTTCTATTAGTATATTCTGTAGCTTCTGTCATTGGCTCTCTCTTATTGTCAGTTTTTTCCGCTCTCTCTCTTTATCTATCTGTCTATCTACCTCTCCCCCCCTCTCTCTCTCACTCTCTCTCTCTCTCTCTCTCTCTCTCTCTCTCTCTCTCTCTCTCTCTTCTCTCTCTCTCTCTCTCTTGCTCTCTCTCTCTCTCTCTCTCTCTCTCTCTCTCTCTCTCTCTCTCTCTCTCTCTCTCTCTCTCTCTCTCTCTCTCTCTCTCTCTCTCTCTCTCTCTCTCTCTCTCTCTCTCTCTCTTGCTCTCTCTTCTCTCTTCTCTCTTCTCTCTCCTCTCTCTCTCTCTCTCTCTCTCTCTCTCTCTCTCTCTCTCTCTCTCTCTCTCTCTCTCTCTCTCTCTCTCTCTCTCTCTCTCTCATTCTTCTTTCTCTATTTATCCATCCATCTACCTATCTACCTATTACAAAAATACAAACTTGCGGCTCTGTCACCACCAATTTATCATTCAGGGATGCCTTTGAAAATCGGAATCATAAAGGCGACTTTATTTTATTGCAAAACGCTATTAATACATTATCTACAAGCTACGGAACATATTAGATTGATTCTGCTATGTCACTTAAACAATGTGTTCTTTGTTTTTGTTTTATGTATATAAATGCCTTTGTTAAAATGCAAAATGTTATTAATTAATTGCCTCCGGATTTCCATTCAGCGTCATCTGCGATTTTTATCATTTTGATAAGGATGTTATCAAGCCGGATATTCCATCAGGGAAGATATAGTGATGTAAGACTTATTTCAAAATCTTGGAGAAAACATTAGATTGTTCATCATCTTTTCATCAAATTAATATCATTAGTTATGGATTTTATGTTGGCAAATAAGGTTTCTTGGAGCTACACAAACTTTTGTAAAGTAAGTAATGATATTAAGCGTTATTGTATTCTGACACAACTTTCGAAAAAGGAAAAAAAAATCGGTTAAGAGTAAATACACTTTCATGATTTTATTTGCGGATCTAATACCGTTAATTAGTAATTAGCGATCAAAACGAGAGTATTTTGGGAAATGGTCAGCTGAAGGAAATATATTCACATATCATTCCCGCACCATATATGGCGATGCGTACCCGAATATTTGGCCAAAGCGTTTCTGAAACAAGGTTATCTTGGGTCATTTTGTTAACAGATCTTAGGTCATTTTGTAAACAGAGACAATGAATTTCTTGGAGGTCAGAGCAGAGTCTACATACTTTGTTTCCTTCCTCTTTACAATAGTTTGTTTCAGTCATTTTCGAAATCTGCAGTGAAGTAATGACAAGAAAATTGACAATTTCATTTTAGAAATAGAAGTGTTTCGTTCCTATCAATGCTAGCTTCTTGCAATCACCTAATGATAATGAAATAGTTGCATGAAATCTGACAAATTTCACTCACAAAGTAAATGACTGAAGAAAATATATATAATAATAATGATAATAAAACCACAAAAAAGAAAGTGGAAAAGAAGAAAGGTAAAAGAAAAAGGCAATAAAAGAAAAAGTACACAAAGAGAAAAAGAAAAGAAAAGAAAAGAAAAAAGAAAAGCAAGCAAAGAAAAAAAAATTAAAAAACAGGAAAAGAAAAATAGAAAGAAAGAAAGCAAAAAAAAAAAAAAAAAAAAAAAAAAAAATGTGTGGTTGATACAAGACCCACACACACAAGTACACACAAACTCCTCATCCACACACGACGTCAGTTCATACGAGAGCATAATTCTTAAACAGCTTCTCCCATGGAACTCGGGTTGAAAAATACTCCAGAGAGCCATTGGAGAGTGGAAAACCCTGCTCTCGCGCTGGAACACTAAGGATATTTTTCTCAACACCGCCAGCAGAAGGATAACAGGGATGCGCGTAAACGAAAAACGAATATTGTGAAGGAAAAAAAAAAATAATAAGATGGTATATGGCAAGATTGTGTGTGCGTGTGTGTGTGTGTGCGTGTGTGTGTGTGTGTGTGTTGTGTGTGTGTTGTGTGTGTGTGTGTGTGTGTGTGTGTGTGTGTGTGTGTGTGTGTGTGTGTGTGTGTGTGTGTGTGTGTGTTTTAAGTGTGCGTGTGTGTACGTAGATATCTGTTTGTCCTTATGTATCTGCGTCATAATAACCATTCATATCTATCCATCTATCTATAAATCTATCGGTTTATCTATCACTCTACCTTCCTGTCCATTCTTCTCGTCCCTGCTTCTCGTTTCATATAAATTCTATATACATCTCATCGCTTGCTCTTCCAGGCACTGTTCAGATGTATAAATAAGTGAAATGAAATGTTAAATGTAAAGGAAATGAAAGTGCCTTATCGTAGATATTCATAAAGCATTTCAGAGCATTTCCGAGGAATAGGTCATAATGCTAGGATTATAGCACACGACGCTAAGCCAGAAACCTAATATATATAC